ATCAGGAAAAAAAAAAAAAGTTTAGGAAGTCTGCCGACTGCCGACGGGTCTGCCTACGGGTCGGCCCGACTGGTAGGCGCGCCTACCGCCAAAACAACCCTGATGTACATTCGGGTGAAGAAGAGAAGGTAGTCACTGGGCAGTTCTGGTGAGCCTTGTGTGTGAGAGAGGCACAGTAAAGGGGGGAAGCTAACATAAGTAAGGAGGATCAAAAGAAGGGTTTCCGTGCGCTCTTCATGTTCGTCTTCTGTACTTTTATCGTTTGTTTTTCGCAAAGTGTCGCTCTCTTTTAGTTGATACATATGTCGAAACAGGGCAATATATAGGCACACAGAGAACGACCTGGAGGTGAAGCTCCGACGAAACAGGGCAATATATTGGCACAGAGAACTACCTGGCGGTGAAGCTCCGATGAAACAGGGCCTCGCCACACTGCTGTGAAACCCAAAAAGCATGAGTGCATCTTCCTGCAGCACAGAGAATGACAAGATGCATCTGTTACTATGAATAGCAACGGGTGCATCTGACCACTTTCTGGGGAAGATGCAGTCGCTCTTTTTTCGTTTCGACAGTGGCGTGGCGAGGCCCACAGTCCGTCACAGCCCCCGGTTTCTTGTTGTCTTTTTTTTTCCTCCCTTTCTGCCTACAGTTTCACTGGGCAGCTCTCTGTGACGGCCTGATGAGTCGCTGAAACTCCGACGAAAGTCTGTCTGTCACAGCCCCTCGTTTGTTGTCCTCTTCTCCATCTCTGCCTACGGTTTACCGGGAAGCTGTGTTTGACGATGACAATATCTATTGTCACATAATTGATATATACCCATGGACTAAAAGAGCGCACTTTGCGAAACAAATGGTATTCTGGAAAAGATTAGAAAACAAGACAAACACGGGGGGCACACTGAAACCATTCATGTTTCTAATTCTTCTTTTTAACACCCCCTTCACCATGCCTCTCACGTACAATATATATCGTCAAATCATTTATATCGTTAAACTGAACTGCCTGGTAAGCCTGAGGCAGAGAGGGAGAAGTATAAAAAAAAGAAAAAAAAGAAGAAAAAGAGAGGAGAGGGAGAAGCGGACAACAGATAAGGGTCTGTAACAGACTGTCTCGTCGGGGTTATATACATTGTCACGTCTCTGTCAACTAAAAGAGAGCGCACTTTGCAAAAACAGACCCAAAAAAAAAATAAAAAAGAGAAGACAAGACAAACATGAAGAGCGGAGAACTGCCCGATGAGCAGGAGGCAGAAAGGGATGGGGAAAAACTATACTTGCAAGCAGACGGACCGGACGAGCGACCGGTCCGGTCCGCTTTGCCGCGTGCGGCACCCTCCCCCCGGACCCGACCGGACCGGATGGGGCCGTCTTTTTTTTTTGGGGGGGGGGKGGGGGGTAACTGGTCGTCGGGCGCACATTCGTGCGCCGCGCGGGTCCGGTCCGGCGGTCCGCCGTACGTGCGGAACGTCTCGGACGGCGTCCGCTTGCAAGTATGGGAAAAACTACAAGAAGCAGCGGGGGGTTTGAACTCAGGTCTGCTGCTTATCAACAGTTCATGGGTGTACCGCTTAATGACCACATCGCATCGTCTGTTTCTTCTGTTTGTCTTTTCCAGATTTCCTCCTGTGTATGAGTAAACGTTATGGTGTGTCTGTAGACTCTGTACTCATATACAGACCTCAGTTTGGACCCATGCAAATTAAATTGTAGACCCCATGAAATGTTGATAAGCAGGCCTCGTAAGTTTGAACCCGGCAAAGTTTAGTTTGCACTTGAGACAGGGTACATTGTTAAAAAAAAAAAAGAGAAAGGATGACACACATAAATTGAGAAATGGTTCATATGTGATGTCCTTCGGGTTCATCGTTTTTTTTCACCCCCCCTCACCCCCCTAAGGGAAGAGCAGAAAATTGCAAGTTGGAATGTGATTTCAATGATTTGTTTTTTCATTTGGCAACAAGTCTGTATATCTTGAGTGTTTTTTCAATTTGTTTGTTTTGAACTACTTTTTACCTAGGCTACCACAGTGGCCTGGGACTTCTTGCCTGGCCGGGCCAAAAGGGGGAAAAATAAAAAAATAAAAGAAAAAAATCATTTAAAAATGGTAAAGAATTTCGATGTGACCCTGAGGCTACGCTTCTCAGACTTCTTTTTGCGACCCCTTTCCACTCGGTTTTGATTTGCCTCCCTCCCCCTCGCCCCCGTTTTTTTTTTTGGAGTGAGGCTTTTGTGTTCATTTGTAGGTTTAGGGATCTGTTCGTAGTTTGTAGGATAGCTAGGCAGTAGAATATGTTTCCACACAGATGAGAAAAAGGGGTATAATTTCTGCTACAGCCGTGGGTATAATTTCTGCTACAGTCGTGGCCTAGGCTTCGATTGGCTGGAGAGCTGTGCTCTGCCTCAGCGCAGCGGCGAACTTTGTGAGGGACGCCGGGCCCGGTTCCTTGCTTGTTAATAGAGATTACTCCTTTCTTCAAAAAGGAAAAAAAGAAAAGAAGAAAAGTTCTTCACAATTTTTTTCTGCATAACATAGTATTCTTTTCGGTGTTTTTTTTTTTTGTTTTGATGGGGCCTTCCCCGGTCCTTGCACAGGTGGGCCGCCTGGGAAAAAAGGTGACCCGCGCGGCGCGGCTGGTAGCCTAGCTTGTTAGGGTTTTTTTTTTCACCTTTATTTTTCGATGTATGTTTCCAACAAGAAGATGATGTTTTTTTTATTCCTGTGACGTACGATGCTTGCACTTTACTCAGGACAACGCCATCACTGTCGCCATGGACGATGTGCCAGAAGAGGGGTTGGATGCCCCCTTGAGAATGGAGAAGCTGGCCAATGAGGTGAGAGGAGAATTTCTGCTTTTTTTCTTTTCTTTGCTCTTCTTTTTCTTCTTCTTTTTTTTTTTTTTTTTTTTTTGGAAACTTCGAGGAGGGGACACTTGCAGGGGAAATGTTATGTGTATGGGAATGGGTTTGTTGTTGTGCCAATTCTGTAGATAAAAAGAAGGCACAGAAGGCACAAAAAAAAAAGCAAAAAAGTTCCAGAGTCTCAAAAAAAAAAAAAAAATCAGGAGAAAAAAAACAAGCAAGGGAACTTGCAAAAAGTTTTCTCACCGGAAGATTTGATCATCAGTTTCCAACTTTCCAAGAAAAAAAAATTAAAAAATCCAATGCATATGCAAGCGTGCCAATAGTGACGGAACTTGTGTGAAGCATAGGCATTGTGCAATTATTTTTTCCCGATCAATTTGTCGTAACCTGCGTAGCCCGGTGAACATGTTCGCGCCCCTCCGCGCGCGCGTTCGTGCGAACGGCTCACGAACGTGTTCGGGCGAACATAATTTTCTTTTCCCGTTTAAAAGGAACGAAAATATATATACCCCTCGTTTGTTGTCCTCTTCTCCCTCTCTGCCTACGGTTTACCGGGCAGTTCTGTTTGTTGTCCTCTTCTCCCTCTCTGCCTACGGTTTACCGGGCAGTTCTATTTGACGATATATATTTTTTTGGTTTTTTAGTTTTAAGTTTCATGTTCGGATAAGAATTTGAACTCGACTCCAAGGCAAAAGTTGTTTGTATTGTTGTTTTACATGACATATATGTTTTTTTTTCAGATTTTTCTGAGATTATTATTATTATTATTATTATTTTTATGTTCGTGTTCGGAGGGTTTTGGGCGCTCATTCGCAATCGGTGAACATGTTCGTGTTCACCTCCGAACGCGAACACGATGCTACGCAGGTCGTAACGTAGTTAAGGAAAAATTGACATGTTAACTGGGCTGGTTGTTCGCCCGTCCCGGCACTTAACATGTGCCCGGATACAAGCCCCTTAAAAACCAATTTATACGGCGGCCCTGACAATTTTCGAGAGTTGGCTGTCAAGGGTGGGGGAAGGAGCCTGGATTTGGGCTCCCGGGGCGATGCACAGTATACATTCCCCCACCCTTGACAGCCAACTCTCAAAAAAATAAAGGAGCCCAGATTTGGGCTCCCCTGCCGATGTGCAGAAAACCTCCACCTATAAAAAAGAAAAGAAAAGAAAAGGGGTGATTTTTACCTGGGCAGGGTGACCTGCGCAGGAGACCTCCAGGCCACTTGTGTGGGATTCATGGCTGGGCTGCACGGCCGGGTAAAGTCAAGTAGCCAGGCAGCTTAGTAAATTAATAAATTGTCAATAAATTTATTAAATTATTAGTATTTTAAGTAACCTACAAAAGGCTACGAAAACAGGACCAGCAGTCATTCATGAACCCATGACTGATTGCCTTGTCTGTCCATCTGGTTGCTCCTCAGTTTCTTTTTTTCAGACCTTTTTTTTTTTTTTTTTTTTTTNCTTTTTTTTTTTTTTTTTTTTTTTAAGTTCTGTGTGGTTGCTCATTATGGCTGGCATGGTTGTTCTGAACAGGTGACTTACAGGAGGCTGAAGGACACTCTCACCGAGTTACACAAGGGTGTGCGCAAAGGCCCGGCAACAGAACTGGTTCCAGTCCTGTTTGGCGATAAATATCCGACTTTTGCGAAGAAGCCAATCACATTTACGCCGTTTAATCAGTTGCTTGATCAGTCCCAGGTCAGACACTTCACCCTGCACAATCCCTGCTTTTTTGTGTGTTTTTAACTTTTTTTTTTGTTTTTGTTAATGTTTTTTTTTTAACAAAGGTCACCATTCAATCCAGTGACTCTTGTCAAGTCATGCAAAGGGCCCAAGCTGCAACTCCCTCCATGTATGCGTCCGATTCACCTCTCCTGTAAGGAATAACATTATGTTCTTTAAACTTCTTTTCCCTTTTTTCTTTTCCCCTTAACAAGGAAGTTTATTTGTGTTTTTTTTTTTTTGGTTAACAGGGAAGTTTGCAACCAATCTTGCCGTCCATCTTCTTTCTTTTTTTTTCTACGGAAGTGCATCATTTACAAGAGTCACAAAGGGGTGGGGGGTGTATATCAAGGCCGGTATGGTTCCACATTTGAACGCCGTGTCTTGGCTATTGTGGTGGTTAAATGACCAGTGCCTCCACGTTTCTAGGCCGTTAACGTGGTGGCTGAATCGGTCTGCCGCGCGGGTCCATATGCATTTGCGTCAGAGGGGGCCCAGAGGGGGCCCAGAGGGGGTCTAAGAACCCCTGGGGTACACTGGTGGTTTAAGAGACTCGCCTCTTGAGGCCAAGGTTGCCCGCCGGTTGGAATCCGTGCGTGCACTGAGAAGGGTCTGGGCGCAAATGTATGTATTGAGGAACCAAACTCTCAATCAACCCAGTGAAGATGACGTGGCAAACGCCAGTGGTTGGCTGGACCTTACTGTGATACGGGGGGGACGAGAAGGGAAAAGTAGAAGACTCCAGTAGCCGGACCCTCCCGTTATGTTAAAAAAAAGGAAGAAAAGATAGGCTCGAACCCTGAGGGGATAGGCTAAACCTCGAGGGGATAGGTAGGCCGGGATATTTTAGGGCAAATACTTGGGGGTCCATTACCAATAACTCTCAGCTTCCCATGTGCAATCAGACTCACTTTCTTCTTCAGTCCGCATACATGTAAACAGATAGCAATTCACACTGGCGCCAAGCGCCCACTCAACGCACAGAGATATGGAAACCGAGAACACAGTTCAGATGCAAACTCGCTTCATCAGGCTATGGCGCATCAGCGCCTGTACATCCCAACTCTTGTCACTGTGTCCAATACCACTGTTCGCACATATTCAACTCTTGATCACCCTGGATATCCCACACGCTTCCCTGTATTGCACACACACCCACACACACAGAAGCCTATCTCTAACCTACAGCGGCTATGGCCGCTCAACTACTACTGACTATGGCTACGCTATCTTCCTTCAGCCCACTTCGACTTCGGGCGACCTGCAGACCACCTCACACAAGACCCTGGGGCAGCGCTTCCGCACGGCTCACGCAGCAATCAAATGAATGGCTGGGCGCTGCCTCTTGATTTATACTTCTGTAAGTCGTTGGTCTGCCCCTTTTCCACCGGGCCCATGGTGCACACAGTCCCTCATGGTACTTGCTGACTGTGCAAAGTGAGACTGGGACTGGGTACCGCTGACTAAGCGAAGTTGGACTCACCACTTGCCCACTTGCCTCTGGTCTGCTGTGTAAAACGTGAGAAGAAACTTGAAAGGCCACTTCTGGACTTTCCGGAAGTTTGCTGACTTGGCCTTTCAGGACTGTAGCAGCTATGACATTGACCTTTCAGGACTGTAGCGGCTACAACCTTGACCTTTCAGAACTACAACAACTACGACCCCTATGTAGGTATGACCCCTACTTCGACAGGTCTAAGGTTCAAGACCCGACAACTACTCAGACTTACGACAGACGACCCTCAAGTACTAACACACAGGTCACGGGTTCAAGACTCACAGGGTCGACTTGATACTGTACATAGATAAGGTAAGTTCAGGTGAGATCTGGGGCCCTGGGATCCGCATCTGTGTCTGCAAAAAGGTAAAAAACGTTTCACTCCTGCCGGCCTAAATTCGAGGTCCTTCGAGAATACTTCAGTCCAAGGTTGGACCTTTACCTTTCTTGTCTCTCTCATAGGCACGAACTACCTGGGGAGCAGTCTCAAGCAGTTCTGTTCGTGTGAACCAGCGGTCGTCCTCTGGTTCCTGAAAAGCGGACCTGACTTTATACTATTTTTGTGGACGACCCCTACCTCCTGTTCTAAAGACATCTTCACCTACAATGACGTCAACATCTTACCTTCCATCCATGTCCGGAGGGATCATGGATCTCCGTGATGGAAACTGTGGACTTGTGGTACAAGGCAGCAACTTTTAGATGCATGAAACACCGGGTAGGTGTGGAGGTGCGCTGGAATCTCGACTGTGTAGGACGGTCGATCCTCTCCGCCCCTCGCCTACTTGAAACTGTGATGGGCGACGGTGCTTATTGGCTTGCTCTATCATTCTACGCTGGGCCTTCCTGAGGTTCTCTGTGACGGTAGCAATCTCTTTCTCGTAGTGTAGTGCAAACTCCCCAGTACCGGGCGGTAGCCTTTGAATCTGATCCCGGTTCAGTCCCTCAAACGGTCTACGTGGTCTAAAGGACTTATGTAACTTGTTGGGAGTGCGACACGTCGCTAAGTGCACGTTGTTATTGTATGCGCTGGCTACCTTGGGAAGCATCTCATCCCAATTAAGCTGATCAGGTCTAATATACATTCTGAGAACTTGCTGCAGGATTTTGTTCATCTGTTCAGTCTGACCGTTAGTCTCAGGGTGACGGCCAGATGACATTAATAACCTAGAGCCATAGACTCTCATCAACTCCTGCCAGTTTTGACTAGTGAACCTGGTATCTCTGTCACTAACTATTGACAGCGGGAGACCATGTTCACTGATCCAATAATCGAAGAACTTGTCTATAACTAAATCTGTTCGTGCCTTTGCGGGTAAAGGAACAAAAACTGCACATTTACTAAATTTATCAACTTTAACGATGACTTGGCTCTTGCCATGCCTACTCTTGACCCCAACATCCATAAAGTCTATGGACACAGAATCTCCGGGTCCTGTGGGAATCGGTAAGGGTTTGAGAAGACCGAGAGGGGCCCGCGTAGTGGTCTTATTCCGTTGGCAGACTGTGCAACTACATACTCTATGCAGTCGGCCTTCATACCTGACCATGTATACGCGCGTATGAGGTTGGCTAATGTCTTGTGCCAACCAAAATGTCCCTCTGTGTCGTGACATTCCCCTAGGATCAAACTACGGATCTCTTCACTCGGGAACACACAATCGGTCAGCCACATTGGTCTTCTCAAATAGTAACCCATCTGTAGTGCGGTAATCAGGCTCAGACTCTGGAGACTCCTTAACTCTCTTGAGGAGATCACTATAAATAGGTTTTTGCGCATATGCCTCATTGATTTTTTGTTGCAGGTCTCTCCCTTTATCCAGATGGTGAACTATCGCTCCAAAGTAATCAACTCTTCTACTTAGAGCATCCGCGACTACATTATATTTTCCTTTTACTGGCTTAAGCTCAAAATCATATTGATCTATCTCTGCGGCCCACCTAGTAAGCTTAGGTGTCATCTTGGCCTGCGTCTTCAGCCACCTCAGTGTCTCGTGGTCTGAATAGACTTCGAAGTGCCTCCCAAGCAAGTAGTGCTTCCAATGCTCTAGTGCTTGCCTGAGAGCGTAGAGTTCCCTTCTCTGAAGGCATCCTAGCAGACATGAATTGTACGGGCCTATACCCATTGCCATCATCTTGCTGTAAAACAACACCTATGTCGTACTGACTTGCGTCAGTGGTGACAACAAAAGGTAAGGATGGATCAGCTACCTTGAGGATTGGGTACTCTATCAAGGCCCGCTTTAGCTTCTTCAGGGGTGATGTACAATCTTTGTCCCACTTCCAGATTGCCTCTTTCTTTAGCAACATGCGAATGGGAGTGGCGATAGTGGAGAAGTTCCTCACAAACGTCCTATAATAGTTGGCTAAGCCTAGGAGCGACCGCAACTCTGTCAATGTGCGGGGCGTTGGCCAATGTTTGATCGTCGCTATTTTGTTGTCTTCAGGTTGAATGCCATCTCCATCTAAAACGTGGCCCAAGTATAGAACTTGTGTCTTGGCCCACTCGCACTTCTTCTCGTTGATCTTGAAGTTAACTTCTCTCAGTTTCTCCAAGACCTGCCTCAGATGGCCCTCATGCTCCTGGAGGGTCTTACTAAAAACTAAAATATCATCTAGGTATACTACCACAAATCTATCAAACCATTTCCTAAACAGATTATTCATACAACGCTGGAATGTAGTTGGCGCATTGGTTAGTCTAAAGGGCATCACTATAAACTCGTAGTGCCTATATCTAGTTCAGAACGCCGTCTTATACTGGTTATCAGGATGGACTTCTATCTGATGATAACCAAATTTCAAGTCTATCTTAGAAAAATACTTGCGGCCCTGCACCCGATCTAAGAGATTATCTATACGAGGTAATGGTTCTGCATTCTTTACTGTGACGGCGTTGAGACCTCTATAGTCTATGCACATTCTAAGCTCTCCCTCCTTCTTGGGAACGAAAAGAACAGGTGTTCCAAATGGAGAGGAACTGGGCCTAATCCAACCCTTCTCGAGGAGCTCATCCAATTGCTTGCGCAACTCCTCTAACTCCGTTGGGGACATTTTGTAGATGGCTCCCTTAGGAGTCCTACTGCCAGGCTCTATCTCTATGCGATGTTGGATCGACTGCGACACTACTCCTGTCGGCGGCTTAGCTAAGTCTGTATACTCCTCCAACAGCTTGGCAATAGCATGATCTATGGGTTTCTCTTCCGTAGGCTCAGTAACAGGCCTAACAAAGGCTACAAATAATTGTTCTTCTAACTGGTCCTTCCTCACTAATCATGCAAACGCGGGGCCACTGAGACAACAATGTGCCAGGGAGTTATACTCGTGACACATGAAACAGGTGAGCAGTCTTAACTTCGCCTGATGGACTAGGGAGCCTATACTCATGCTCTGTCAAGTGGAGTGTGGCTCCTGCTGCCTCTCCCCAGTCCATTCCTAGGACCATGTCGAAGGGAAGACTCTCTTCCACGAGGAGGGT